CAGGGGAAACAGTATAAATAAACCTGCATTTCCTTTTACAGGTGAACTATCTTGAACAAAGGACACGAACAGCCAAGATTCAAGAATACCTATACCGGCATGTAGCATCTAGTAGCATACCAAAACAACTCTACTGCCTGACATTAAGGCTAGCCAATGAGCACAGCATGAATTCAGCTGCTCGTATGCAGCTTCCAAATCCTGAGCAAGTCCCTTACCTCGTTGACAACTCGTTCTTCCACTTTGTTCTGGCCTCTGACAATGTTTTAGCTGCATCAGTTGTGGCCAACTCTCTTGTTCGTAATTCTCTCCATCCTGAGAGGGTTGTTTTGCACATCATCACCGATAAAAAGACCTTTGCGCCTATGCAGGGTTGGTTTTCCTTGCATCCTCTGACACCTGCTGTCATTGAGGTCAAGGCATTGCACCAGTTTGAGTGGATTAGTAAAGGAAAAGTGCCTGTTTTGGAGGCCATGGAGAAGGATCAAATGGCTAGGTCACAATTTAGAGGCGGATCTCAAGCAATTGTGGCTAGTGATTCCGAAAGGCCTAATGTTATTGCTGCTAAGCTTCAGGCTATGAGTCCCAAATATAACTCCATCATGAATCACATCAGAATTCATCTCCCAGAGGTATAGTCAATTTATTGTATAGAAATTGGCTTTATATGATCCTAAAATTGATAATAATCAATTCTTTCTTCATTTGACCATCCAAATTTATGTTAATTGTTCTTTGTTTCATGGTTTCAGTTGTTTCCAAGCCTGAATAAGGTTGTCTTCCTCGATGATGATATCGTGATACAAACTGATTTGTCACCCTTGTGGGACATTGATATGGATGGAAAGGTCAATGGAGCAGTACAAACTTGCAGTGGAGATGATAAATTTGTAATGTCAAAGAAACTAAAGAACTACTTGAACTTCTCTCATCCTTTGATAGCGAATAATTTTCACCCAGAGGAATGTGCTTGGGCTTATGGCATGAACATTTTTGATTTAGAGGCTTGGAGGAAGTCTGACATTACTCAAACCTACTATCACTGGCTCCAATTGGTATATATTTCAAAATTTTGATTTGTTAATTACAACATTACTACATAATCTGCTAATATTATCTACTGACATGACTATTTTTGAAAACAGAACTTGAAATCAGACCTAAGTTTATGGCAGCTAGGAACACTACCACCAGGACTAATAGCATTTCATGGTCACGTTCAAGTAATCGATCCCTTCTGGCATATGTTGGGTCTTGGATACCAAGAAAATACAAGTCTTGAAGATGCTGAAAATGCCGGTGTCATCCATTTTAATGGGAGGGCAAAGCCTTGGCTTGATATAGCTTTTCCACAACTTAGGCCATTATGGGCTAAATATATTGACTTTTCTGATAAATTTATCAAAGGTTGTCATATCAGAGATTCATGAGAGTTTCTTTCAGAGGAGAATGAGGTGAATATTCTTGTACATGAGCTAGGGGCGCACACAGAATTTTCGCCAATTCAAGGGTCCCTTATAGAGCGAAATGCAAAATGTGGAGGCAGAACAAGAAAGAAGCTATAATCATGTACTTTAACAGAAGCCTCCTTAGATTAGGAGTTTTCTTTTTTTTGTGTATTCTCTCATCTTATATTCTTTCAGTTCATAATATACTAATAATTTTGATGCATTTATTTCAGAGAAAATGATACAAAATTGCAATCATAATCAGATAAATCTAGCCTAATTAGCTTGCTTTTTTCCTGTTACATTGGAAACTAAATCCTTCAAATATTTAGCTGTCTTAGTGATGGGTGAATTCACTGCCATCAAATTGTACAAAACATACTCTACTTCAGTAATCGAAGGCCGGGAATTGAATCTTGAAACCACCTTCAATTGATTTTCATCACCTTCTTCTTCCACTAACACATTCCATTTCTCCCCACTCACAACGCCGTCTCTAACACACTTGAAAACCACTCCTTTTCTCTTACTCAAAAGCCCTCTAACTTCCAATCCTAGGAATGCATAAAGCACATCAAATGAAGCTACAAAACCACTCAAATCACCAAAACTTTCCTCTTCCTCGAATGCCCATTTCGGGTTAAACAACACCAAAGGGCTTGGGTACAAACTGTCACTAACTAACTTCATAACTGCCAACTGTGAAGAGTTTGGCGCCAAAAATACTGCCACATCAGCAGAATTCAAAATTCTGTTATTAACTGTCATAGCAGAACTAAGTTCAATGTGCTCAAAAAAACCAAATGGAAGGCCTTGAAAAACTGTTATTCCACTAGCCATTGAAGTGGGATTAGGCCAAACAAGTAAAACTCGAACCGGTGACCTTTTTTTCTTGATTGGGAGGTCCTTAAAAACATCGAAAGCGAGCTGGGTGAGTGACTCAGGGGAGTCATCAATCAATGGTATTTCCACCCTAAATCTTGGTTGTTTTTCTTTCTTGATTTTGCCAGTGAGTTTGGGGTTGTTAAGAGGCTTTTGCAAGGCGGTCGAAAGGCTACTTTTGGCTTGAAGAATAGCTTCTTCTTTGGTAATTGGAGGTGAAGGGAAAGAAGTGTCAGAGATTGAACAATGAATGGACAATTTTTGGTGTTTTGGTGTGTTTAGAGGTTTCCTAGGCAAAAATGTTTGTAAGGAAACATGATTAGTGTGGTTTGAAAAGGAAGGAAGAGAATGAGATTGGATTTTCGAGTGCGAAAATGGAAGAGGAGAGCATGTAAACTTTGTTGTTTGAATAGGGAGTTTGAGCAGATTGGTAGCCATTAGAGATTATTTATGATATTCAAGGGGTTGTTATTATCAATTATGATCATATGAAAGTGCAGCTAATATATATAGAGGATAAGGTGGAGTGAGATTCTGAGCCTCACATTTTATCCTTGATTTTCTGGGCCCTTTTTTATAACAATTTGTGCCTATTAATACATTAATAGAATTTGGACTATAAGAAACATGCCAAGTTCTAGCCCATGGTGCACTTTTTATGGAGAGAAATAAGCTCATTCCCTTGGTAGTACAAAATTTTAATAATCATATACACCGTAAATAGAATAAAAATCAAAATAAGGAATAAATAAGTCTCTAAAATTAAACATTTCTCATTGGAATATAATTGTTGCATTATTTCAACACCTCATAATTTAATTATGCGAAGTTCATGTGTTTGGTATGTTACACACCCGGAAATTATTTTTACTACTCATATTTGGCTAATTCTCATACTCAAAAGTAACACTGATACTTTGTATAATGATAATGTTAATCAATAATCATAATGAAGTAGCAAAGTAGTAATATAGAAATGAGATACTCGACTACTCTCTCTATTCTCATAAATATGGGTATTGATGGTCAAACTGTTGCATTTATGGATACTTGTATGTGCACACGCATGCGTTTGTATAAGTCATAGGTAGCATCCTAACGGAGAATTTCAAGTGTCTTTTCTACCCTTTTCACTTGGTTAATGAACATACTACATAGCAGAGAATCTATATCTTGTATTCAATTACATATAAATGTAGGTGTATCCAAGTCTATATTTGATGCTCGTTCTATACATATAAACAATTGAGTAGTAAAAAGCCTTAGATACGCCTAAGCCTTAGAGAAATTCATTATTAATCATCAGCTTTGTGTAATCTACTACTCCGTAATGTTAGTGTCGATATTTAAATTTTATTATTTTACAACACAGGTCATTATATTATTAAAAAAATCACTATGTTAAATAAACATTATTATGTTAATATATAAGTTATTGTGTTATAATAAATGTTAGATTAATAATTTTTTATGATGAATGTTTTAATATACTTGTCAATATGTATAATAATGTCACTATGTTAAAACTAGGGTCATTATATTCAATATAATATCAGTTGGCATGTGTGGACCTCAAGTCCACACTAACTTTTTGTGAACTAAATTCAGTCATACATGTTTTAATAAAGACCATTATGTTAAAATTAGGGTCACTATATTTAATATAAAGTCAACTGAGACGTGTGACCTTGTATCTACAAATATACAATAATGCTATAGTGAACTAGATCAACACCCGTTTTTTTTTCCATTTTTTTGCCAATTTCCTTCATATTATTAGACTCACTTTGTTTGGATTCTAATATTTCAAGACCTTTCTAATTTGGCGTCTTGGCGGTGCAAGCCAAGCTTGACTATTTATGTTGGTTCAGTATGTTGGACCAATAAATTTGGTATAAACTTCAGGACTACTTTTTATGCACAATTTTGTTTCTTGCATAGGCAACTTTTACGCGTGCTTACCAATCATTTGCTGCCATTTTACTTAGTCATAATGTCCTAATCCTATAATGGAGCTTCAATGGCGACTCAATGAATCATCACACCATACTTTTTAACATTAACCTTATCTTTCAGTTTTTAAAAAGACCCATTAAAATTGCATAATGTATGTTTCACCTAACATTAGAATTACAACCAAAGCTTGTTCTTAGATAAAGGTTTAATAATAACAATATGAATAGCTATCATATACGAATATGGACATACAAGAAATTCATTACTATTTTCGTGTTTTGACTTTTTCCATGTGATCAAACAACCAAAATTAAAGTAAACACATTTGATACAAGAAAATCTAATAATGCAAAAAAGCAAATCTCTTACTAAAATTAGAATATTATTGTTTAAGGCAACAACCACCTTTAAACATTGAATTTTGATAGCATTATCCTAATGTTGTTATCATATAAACTGATAAACAGCTAAGAGTTGGCAATTGACTAACATTGCATATAAAATCTTTGATGATACCAACTAGTCAAAACAGCTCAAAATGTCAACAATGATTCAAAATTCCAACTAGTCAAACCAGCTAAATACAAAAAGGTCAACAACTTATTGCCAAATAAGAGCGCTCTGCCATATACGAAGTATAACCAAACAACGATAGCAGTGCAACAAAAGAACAGGAAACTGCAGTTAACAAGCATTCCTTGGATAAACAAACACTTGTGTACCAAAGGAAAAACTTATTCCATGAAAGCAAGTGAACAAGACATTGCAATTTCTCGTCCTTCCACAGGCCTTAAAAATTTCATAGTCGCTTACATCCAAACAAATGAGACCTAGGTAAACCTGAGACTAGGAGTCAAGGGGGCAGAAGAACCGATTTACAAGATGGCTAAAACAGGGCAGCAATACTAATCAGACATTTACAATTTCATTTTCAACCACCAGAAGCGGCATTTTCATTGAAGTTCCACTGTTAACATACACATTCCACATTCCACCAATGTAGTTTGTTAGTAGACTTCAGCACAAAAGTAGTGCACAGTCAAATGGCAAATTGACAAAGGACCCTAAAAAGAAGAGAAAAAAAAAAGGGAGGGAGGAGAAAATCAAGAGGTGATGATAGTAATCCTGAACAAAGGACTAATGACATATCCAATTAAGCCACTGGTGGGCGAAGCACATGATCTTGAGATGTATCGACTGAAGCTGGAGGCATGAACTGCCACATAGCAACTCCCGGGTATCCCATGAAGGGCACCAACTTGCCTCCTGGAGCTTGAGTTGGTGGAGCAAAAGCAGGGATAGCAGTTGGGGCAGGGAGATATCCTGGCTGAGTGTTCATGGTCTTCAATTGCTGCTCTAGCTTGTCCTTCTCAGCCTTCAGCCTTTGCTTCTCATCACGGAGCTCAACCTTCTCAGTCTAGGGAGGAAAATAAACAAACTTAGTATCATTTTGCAAAGATCTTATAATAGTGCTAAGCAAAAACTGATAGTCAACACAGACCTTCAATTCCTTTATCTTCTCCTGTAAATTCGAATTCGAGTCCTTCAACTTTTGTGCCTCACTCCTTAACTGTGTCACCATTCGAACAGCATCACTCAAAATGGCTGCCTTGTCAGTCTTGGGAGTTCTACCAGGTTCCAAAATTGCACCTAATTCCATAAACCTACACAAAGATATAAAACGTTATTTCATTAACACATGCAAAGCAACAAGTGCCTATTGTGTATCCTGCTACAAGCAATTCTAATAAACAGCCATATCTAAAACCAGCACAAACCAATTAATATAAAAAACTTAAATAGAAGGAAGGAGAGCTAACTTGTCATTAAGTCGGTCTCTGCGTGCCTTCTCTCTGCAAGCTTTGGAGCTAGATGGAGCACATGATTCGGATCTTCCCCTGTAATAGGGAACATGATATGATTTACAAACATTACCAATAAAAACATACCTCACCATAACAACATTCCATCAATGCCTCACATGAGGCGCTCAATGCACAAATGTAGCGAGTTCATGGGGAAATAAATTGAATATGATGGAAAAGTGATGTAGTATGATTAAATATCATTTAAGCGCTACCACATTATGCAAATTGATACTCGATTATTATCTATTAAACAAAATAAAAGCCACTATTCATGTCTTGTCAATAACCATCACGGCAGTAAACTGAAAGCAGGACCAAAAATTAACAAGGCCACAATCTCTCACAATCCACGAACAAAGGTTCAGCTAGTTTGATTCATTCTTAATCTCTCCAACTTAGCACATTTAGAATAGATCTTCTAAGTTCAATGTAACATAACTCTATTTTAATTTTTTTTGGCCAAAATCAGTAGAGCAGAATTATAAATAATAAAGGTCCAAGAAAAAAAAAATTACCAAATTAAATGAAAAGAACATAAAGCATACCTCTTTTTTGAGTTGTTCTCCTTGGGGGCATCTGAATCACCATAAGTTCCATCAATGTCGGCACTGAGATAAACAAGAAGCAAGCATAAGAAAACACTGATATTCTGTATTGAGATTAGAGAGCATGATCCCAAGAATGCTTAACAAAAATATAGAAAAATTATTAGTTAATTGCAATCAGTTCAATCAATCAAAGCCTTAATCACATAAGTGGAGTCGGCTACATGAACCAAAATATTAACTAATTACACCAAGGATTCAGCATTAAAAGTAGTACAAGGAAAATTTCATCCCAGTGCAGAAGCCCAACTCATCCCAATATTGAGCTCTTCATCCTGACTTTAGGTGTGCATAATGGAATCCATACATAACTCCATAATCCATACATCAAAGTAATAACAAGGATTCTTGAATCATTGCCACAGGAACAATTTTAAGATATCATAAGTCACACAACATGCTACACCTCCATAATCCCAGCTAAATTTGATACTCCTCACCTAATTTTTTTCTCGAATACTGGTATTTGATCTCCCCCAACAACTCCACATGTTTTACTTAACCATTCACTGATTCAGCAATGCACTTCACAAAATATATGGATTGTTTCTTCCTAGATTACCAACTCACAAAATGTATGAAGTATCACCTCAAACTCAAACAAGAGGCGGTAAATATATTGAGATCGATGGAGCCACAATTCACTAGTATTTAAGAACTACCACACTAATCCAAAGTATACACAAAACACCACCAGGCTTCATCTTTCATTGATGCATTAAAAAACAAATAGCTTTATACAATAATGTTTAATAAAATCATTATCAAGACTGACACTAATTATATGCACGTTGCGAATTCAACAAAAGTACATGAAAATCGAAAAATAATTCAAAAAAACACAAACCCTAATCATATATTCACCAGATTCCAACAGAGGAAAGGCGAATCCAAAAATTCAACAAAAAGAGCAAAATTAAACAAAAATAAAAACCCATATAATTCATTCCAAAAAAAATAATGGGTAATTCACAAATTCCCCAAAAATTTAACTTTCAGCCACATAATTCACAAAATCATCAAGTGGGGTCAAAATTGAAAACCCTAGCCTCACATAAAAATTCACATGAAAATCCCCCAAAAATTAAATTACGAACAACACAAAATAAAGGGAAATTACCTGACATTAAATGGAACATTCAAAGCTTGCTGCAATTGACAATTATTGAAGGCAGAATTAGGGGCAGAAAAGTTACAATCAGGAACAGAGATCTGAATATCATCTATATAAGAATAATCATACAACCAATTAGGGTTTTCATGGGACACCATCTCCGGTAAAATTGCCGGGAAATTCCGGGAAAAATTGGTCGAAATTTTCCGGCGAGATTAGAGAGAGAAAGAGAGGGATTTTCGGGGGTAGGGTAGAGAGAGAAAGCTGTGGAAGAGGAAGGGTATATTTTTCTTTTATTTTTAATAAAATACAACTGTTTTTTATTTTTTGTAGTTAATTTTTTTTTTTGGAATTGTCAAAAAGAGAAGGTGAGAATCTGTGACTAGGGGTGAGCAAAGACCCAGGGTACCCGGTACCGGACCCGGAACCGGTTAGGATCCGCCGGGTCCGGACCCGGAACTGGTCCCACCGGTTCCGGGACCGGGTCCAAAATGTCGGACCCGGTTGTAACCGTTCCGGGACCGGGTCCTAAAATTTCGGACCCGGTACCCACTGGGTACCCGGTTTAAACCAATTCCAGTTCCGGGTACCCGGTCCCGGATCCAGACAATCCGGGTACCCGGAACCGGTACTGATTTAGTTATAAAAAATTATTTTTTTTAAAAAAAACCCAACAATCCACAGTCCAATACAACATTAGGCCCATTTCATCCAATTCATTTCTGCTAGGGTTTCTGTCAGCCACTAAGCCTCCTCATTTCATTGAATTCATTTTTGCTAGGGTTTTGTTCTTCTCTGTTCATTCTCAATCTTCTCTGTTCTCCTCTGAAAATCTCATCTTGTCTTCTTTCGTTCTCATCAATTCACTGATTCTCGGTCTTCTTTCGTAAGTATTTTTCTCTTGGTACTCAAAATCTCATCCTCTCTTTCGTTCTCATCAAGCCACCGAACGACTGTCTCTTTCGTAAGTATTTTTCTCACTTTGTTTGCTTTTTGTTTCATCTTGCATATGTAGATCTCTGGTACTGTTTATTGCTGCTTGCATTTTCTTTGGAGATAGTTAGAGTGTTTATGTTAATTTTTATTTTTATTTTCTTCAATTTCTGAGGGTGTTACGAGTGTTTAATATGCTGAAATCAATGAATTGGTACAAATTGACTGCACTTATAGTCTTTTTCTGCAATTTCTGGGTGTTTGAATAGATTCTTATTGAGTATTAATTGGTGGGTACCATTTTTAGTTGCTGTACATGTTTAGTTCAGTCATTGCTTTTATAGAAGTTGTTGTTTGGCTGTTAACATTGTGGTGTTGATCTCAGTACATGAGGTGGGTACACTGGGGTTTCGTTTTAATGATGTTATGTTTGCTGCTTGCATTCTCCCTGATAGAGTTAAAAACATTGGAAGAAACAGAGTCAATAACTCAATGTTCTATCTTTTGGCTTTTACCACTTGCGATGGATTAGTGGAAAAATTGCTTTAGAGGAGATATTTCCCAAAGTTCAAAAATTTTTTGTTGAATTTTTTTCCTGACTGAATGATTAAATAAAAAAATCATACTACACTACACTACAATCCCATCTTCTGATCACATTCACCTTGCATCTTTGCAATAGTGTTTTTTTTTTTTTTTTTTTTAATCTAGTTATCATGATATTGGTTTACCTTGTTTTTTCAGATTTTCAGATCTATTTCTTGTTTTATTGAGCTGGTCTTTCTGAAATTTGTAGTTGTGGAGAAAGATGTAGATGGTGATGCATGTGCAGGAACTACAGTTGGATTTCTATGTAGAATTCTGCTTGTTTAAAAGGTTTTTATAGAGGAGAAAGTGTTTCAACAACTAAAGGAACCTTCTTTTCATAAGATTAATTACCATTTTTTCTTTATTAAGTTCCAATTCCTTTTTGTATTCTTCATGAAGATGATGTACTAGGATCTGTGCATATTGTCTCTCCTTTCTTTCTTTGTGTTTATGTGAGTGAGACAATATCAGTTCTGACTGTTGTATGTATTTGTGTAATGCATATAATCACTCTCACTTTGTGTAATGTTTATGTCTTATTAAAGTTTAATTTGTTCCTATTTCAGAACTATGAGCAATACCGACAATTCGTCAGTCCCTATGGATGATGAAAGTGAGGTTGGAAACGAGAATGCAACAACCAAATCAACCAAGGTTGGTGACAAGAGGAAGTCTGAATACTGGAACCATTTTTGGGATTTTAGAGATCCAGTAACCAAAAAAATTGTTCAAGTCAAATGCAAATATTGTGAGAAAATGCTAACAGGTAATACTAATAATGGAACTTCTTCATTAAAGAAACACCTTGGTGCATGTTCAAAATACCCTCCAAATGTAGACAAAAAGCAAAAACTCATTTCTGTTTACAAGTCTCCTGAATCTGATGCTACTATAGTCTCTAATTGGAAATTTGATGAAACTGCTTGTAGACTTGGTTTGGCAAGAATGGTTATTGTTGATGAACAACCATTTTCTATTGTTGAGCGTGAAGGTTTTAGGTATTTTTGTAGTGTTGTTGTACCTCAATTTCATATACCTTCACGTTTTACAGTTGCAAGAGATGTGAAGAATATATTTGTTTGTGAAAGTGGAAAATTAAAGAAATTAATTGGGTGTTTGAAATCGAGAGTGTCACTAACAACTGATTGTTGGACCTCCATTCAAAATTTTAATTATCTTTGTTTGACTGCTCATTTTATTGATGATAATTGGAAGTTGCATAAAAGAATTTTAAATTTTCAATTAATGGATAGTCATAAAGGTAAGGAAATTGGAAAAGTTGTGGAGGCATGTATTCTTAAATGGGAGATTGAGGATCGATTGTTTTCTTTAACTGTTGATAATGCTAGTTCAAATGATGTGGCGGTTGGATATTTGAAAACACATTTTCATGATAAACTTGTTTTGGAGGGTTCATTTTTTCATATGAGATGTGCTTGTCATGTTCTAAATTTGATTGTGAAAGATGGTTTATCTAGTGTGAAGTCTTCGATTGCTCGAATTCGTGCTGCTGTTAGATATGTGAGGAGTTCACCTTCTAGAGCTAAATTGTTTGCACACTCTTCTATGTTGGTTAAAGTTTCTTGTAAAGGTTCAGTTTGTCTTGATGTGGCAACTAGATGGAATTCTACCTTTCTCATGCTTGAAACCGCATTGAAATTTGAAAAAGCTTTTAATAGGTTTGCGGAAGATGATCCTGATTTTAGTAGGGAACTCAAGGATGGAGTACCTACACAAGAAGATTGGGTAAATGCTAAAGTGTTGTCTTTGTGTTTGAAATTATTTTATGAGTCTACAAAGAAAATGTCGGGTAGTTTATATGTTACTACAAACTTGTATTTTCACGAGGTTTTGGAGGTGTTAAGTTGTTTGATAGAATGGGAAAACTCTACAAATATGGATATTCGTATTATGGGTAGACAAATGAGGGAAAAGTTTGATAAGTATTATGGGGATCTCGGTAAAACTAATATCATGATGTTAGTTGCGGTTGTTTTAGATCCTCGATATAAGCTTAGGTTTTTGAAGTATTCTTTTAAAAAACTTTATCCTAACGACTTTGCCAAAGTCGATGTTATTTGTGACAATTTGTATGACAATGTTCAGAAGTTATTTAACCATTATGATGCTATTATTGCTTCTTCCTCTTCCAAGAATAATCGTAATATTAATGTTGCCAATGTGGATAATGGTTCTGAAAACTTGAGCTCTTCAAATAGTGAGCAAATGAAAAAGTTTTATGATGATTTTGATGAGGAAGAAAGTGATTTTATTGTTGAAAAAAGTGAATTGGATTATTATCTTGAAGAAGCTCGGGAGAGAAGGGTTGAAGGGGAAATGTTTGATATTTTGGGTTGGTAGAAAGAAAAAAGTGACAAATACAAAGTATTGTCAACATTGGCTAAGGACATTTTGGCTATACCAATTTCTACGGTTTCTAGTGAATCCGCATTTAGTACATCGGGTCGCATACTTGATCAATTTCGTAGTAGTTTGGGGCCAAATATGGTGGAAGCTTTAGTTTGTACTCAAGATTGGTTAAGGGCGTCAAATGTATGCATTGATATTGAGCGCTTCCTTGAGGATGTTCAAAAATATGAAGAAGGTAATACACTAATACTTCTATTATTTTGTATATTTATCTATTTTATTTCTCTAAGTTTATTACTTATATTGTTTACTGTTTTTTTTAGAATTGGATGGTAGTGACACTGGCATCACACAAGTTAATGAATTTGTTGGAAATAATTGATGTGACAAAGGTTTGTATAATTGTATTCTTAATTATATTGTATGAAAAGATATCAAATGACAAATATTCTAAGGACATTTTGGCTTTTGTTTATAGGGAATTTGTGCTTTCTTGTTGGCTGCTGCCTCTTTGCTTTGTTGTCTGCTGTATGCTGTCTTTCTCCGTTGCTTAGATGGTTGCTGACTTGCTGCTGGTCTTGTTGCTGGCTGATGGTGTGCTCAGCTGCTGCCTGCTGATGGTGTGCTCAGCTGCTGCCTGTTGCTGCCCTTCCTTTTCTTCCCTTTTTTTTTCTGAACTTTTATTTAAGTAGTTGTTTTGGTTATGTTTGGATGTTTGGACTTTGCAGCATTGTTGAAGTTTGTTGTACTGATATTTTAGGTTGTTGAATTGGTACTTTTTGGCTTATTAGTTTGTAATATTTTTATTTTGAAATATTTGTATTTTGCTAGCCTCCAAAACTAATTTAGGGATATTATTATGTTAATATAACTAGCCTGCAAAATTCCATTATATATAATAATATATTATATAACAATTATAAAGAAAAAAACAGTATTTTACTACGTTGAATAATACCGGGTACCCGGTTTTGGAACCGGTTCCTACCGGGTCCGGGACCAGTTCCAAAAAATTTGGATCCGGTATTAACCGGTTCCGGGACCAGTTCCAATTCTTGGGACCCGGTTATAACCGGTTCCGGATCCGGGTATTACAAATATGACCGGGTACCCGGTCTTGCTCACCCCTATCTGTGACATTTGATGAAAAGAGTGAAATTTTTTGGAGGAATTGTTTTTTTGGGGATTCCAGGAAGCATCAACCAACAATCAATGATTTCACTATCTTAAAAAAGAGGAACCTTCTTTCAAAACTCAAAAATTAAAAAAAAATAAAAAAAAATAAAAAAATAAAAAATAAAAGGGGAACCTTCTTTCTTCTTTGGGTGTGATTGTGTTAGATGCTGGATAGATTCATTAAAAATGAGTTGTATTCGGGTGAGAAAGGTTTTGACCTTTTGGATTGAATATGGGTTGGGTGTATTCAGACATCAGTCCAATTCGGGTTCGATCAGGGCAAATTCAAATGTATTGATAATAAACTTATACTTCCTCCATAATTTGTTGACTAAAAGGGAAAGTGATGCATCTAAATTGAATCTTTCCTTTGTAAGTGATGCATTTAAAAAAAACGGAGGAAGGATATAATATCATTCAAGATGTAGCAATTTCAATCCATATTTAGTTTCAATTCATTATATTTCGAACTCAAGTCAAGTCAATTTCAATTTGTGTAAGTCTTAGATCATCTACTTTTGGTTTGATTGGGGTTTTGGTTATTCAATATATGATGAGTTAGTTTTGTTAGATATAGTCTATAGACATTGCAAAATTGATCCGATGTAAAGTTTTGGACCCATGTATATACATTTGATGACTCTAATCTTGAATTGGAATTGACTTAACCTAAATTCACCTATTTTAAATAACTATGGTTCTAAATCTTGAAATTGGTATATATATTTTATAATATAAGATCTTTGATAATAAACTTAATTAATTGATCCATTACT